TATACACACACCGTACAACAGGAGAGAGAGGGTTAATATATACACACACTACACCAGGAGAGAGAGGGTTAATATATACACACACCGTACAACAGGAGAGAGAGGGTTAATATATACACACTGTACAACAGGAGAGAGAGGGTTAATATATACACACACCGTACAACAGGAGAGAGAGGGTTAATATATACACACACCACTCCCACATACACACAAGCAGTCAGTGTACACGTTGTGGGGGGGGTTATCCCGCACACACAGACACACACACACACACACACACACCTCACGCAAGCACGCGCCACGCACACACACACACACCCGCACGCACGCACCTAAGCACGCACGCATGCAAGCCCACGCACACACACACACTCACACACACGCATGCACCCAAGCACGCACGCACGCATGCACACACATACACGCACACACACACACGCGCGCGCGCACACGCACATGCACACACACAAACGCACACACACACACGCACACGTCTATTTCTCCCCCCTCACTAAACAAGGACATATTGCGTGTACAGCCCACAGATTGTGAGACCCAAGTCGTGGAGTTTTATAGCACTAGCAACACAGCGCCTATACGAGCGGGAGATTGGAGGTGTTACAGGAGAGGAAAAGGCAAAGGAAAGAAGGAGAAAACAGAAAGACAACCCGTTTGAGAGGAAAGACTGAGCACACCCCACCAAAGCACCCGCCAACCACACCCACACTACCAGTTCAGAAAATGTCGAGAATTTTTATAGTAGTTACGGGAGACACATCGGCAGTAACGGTTATTCCGTTCAGTGTGTGTGTGTGTGTGTGTGTGTGTGTGTGTGTGTGTGTGTGTGTGTGTGTTGGGGGTGGGGGGTGGGGGACTGGAGAATAATACATACCGACAGAAACAACTGAGAAAAGAAGGAGCACGCAGTGGCACCCTCCAACCACCCACCAAATGCAAAGCTTACCAAACATCCAGACGTCGCTGGCCGTGGTAAATCGGCGGAAGTTGATCGACTCCGGGGCCATCCACTTGATGGGTAGT